TATATATATATATACATATGTGTCTGTGTGTACGTACGTGTCTCTCTCTCTGTCTCTCTCTCTTTCTCTGTCTGTCTGTCTATCTCTCTATTTGCCTATCTAACTATCTATTTATCTATCTATCTCTCTCTCACTCTCTCTCTCTCTCTCTCTCTCTCTCTCTCTCTCTCTATATATATATATATATATATATATATATATATATATATATATATATATATTCAGTATTCAGTATTTCCCAAAGGGTGTACGAACCCTTGGGAAAAAGGCAATAATTTCTATAATCATCTTTGTTATTCTCTTAACGAGAGCATGGTCTCATAATGGAAAGTCTGATTATAACGCCACTAGTTCATACTTATTAAAGAGACTAACAAAACATACTTATAATTTTCTTTAAAATCTGGGAGGGATTTTTTTTTTCATATGTAAGGGAGGCGCAGAGGGAAGGACAAATTCCTAAAGGTGAGCGTGGTAGTTAAAGGGTTAAGAACCACTGATCTAAGATATACATATCCCTAAGTACTATTCGCACACTACAGCCCTGCTTTGTCTCCCAGGTCGCTGCCAACTCCCGCTATTATGGGCCAACCTTCGATGGACAGAGCCAAGAGAAGGAAGCGCCCGTCAGGCCTTTCTTTGAGGAAGCGACGTTGGCCAGACAAGGGGGCGAAGTGAATCCAGATTCGCTTCACACGGGCGGCATGACAGATGCGCAGCGGCAGATGGTCCAGTTGCTTCAGGAACGGGACTGGAAGGTCGTGGTGCGCGATCCCGGCTTCAGGGAGCTGCTGAAGAAAGAGATGGTTCGCTCGGGCGTCCTTCACGACCACGAGTCCATCATCCAAGCAGCTGCGAATGCGGCGGAGAGGGTCGAGGAATCCACGGAAGGCGACGGCGACGACGAGGAGCTCCTGAGGCAGATCGCGGACGAGGCGGAGGCGCGAGGTCTGGATTCCGGGAAGGTCGCCGGGCTGGAGCGCGAGTTGAGGGACGCCCTCCGCCGGGAGCCGCGTCAGAACAGCATCTACGACGTCCTGGATGGCGTTTGGAATTACAATAGTCCGAAGCCGACGAGGGACAGGACACGGAATCGTAACGAAGGCTATAACTCCGGCTCCCCCTTCGCCGTCATGCCCTTGAACGACATGATGGGCATCTTCCAGGCTCTGAACCGAGAATACGGCGCAGCCTCCAGCAGCTACGCGTCGCCCCCTAGCTCGAGCTACGGCGCGCCGCCCAAGTCTTCGGGCTACGAGAAGCCTCCGAAGTACGTACACTTGCCGCCGATCAAGGGCCCCACCTACTACCCTCCGATCGAGGTCTGTCCCTCGGGCCACAGCGGCGTGTTCGCCTTCTTCGCCTTCATCACCCTCACGCTGACCCTGATGATCGACTTCACGCTCTCGGTCATGGTGGACATCAACGCAACTGGCATCGGCGGCATCGGTGGTTCGACAGTCATCAACAACAACAATAACAATAACAACAATAATAACAATAACAACAATAACAACAATAATAATAACAATAACAATAACAACGGCCGATCGTTTAACATGTTCCCAAATGACTTCGGTGGTCTGGACATCGACTGGTCTCTGGTCTCTGATTTGGACCTCATCGACCAAGACGTCCTTAGGGATATTCGGAAGGCGAGGGACGTGTCCGATTCCTTCCCCGAAACACCGACGACGGAGAACGACTCGAACAGACCCAGAATCATCTTCGATCGCTGGAAGAAACTCCTTCCGCGCGGATCGATGTTCGTCTTCCCAAAGTCTAAGGGCGAAGTGGCCACGACTGCTTCGGAAATCGAGAGGTTCGGGTTCCTGAAGCAGTACCCCACTTACGGGTCAGAGAAGCCCCAGGCGGAGGACGCCGCGTCTCAACTCCTTGAAGTGGGACAGGGAGTCTTCCATAGTTCGGCATCCCTCTTGCGTGCCAGTGATTTTGAAAATATGCAGAAGGGGCATATAGAAAAAGAGTTCAGATTGCAGAGCACTTTGAATACCAGCTTATACAGTACTCCGAGTCTTCATCAACACCTGAACTCTTCTTACCTCTACTTCCATCCGGATTATGGCCCAAAGACCTCCATTCACGCGACGCCTACCGTTGTCTCCACGTTAACGGCAGCAGTTCCTTTATCATCTGCTGTGAAATTGCCAAATCAAATAGAGCCTGAAAAGGGACACGAAGGTCTTATCAAACAAGAGAAAGCAAAACCACCACCATCGGAATTTGAAGATAAAGACGCCAGCAAGCAAGAAGATAAACGAGACATGAAGCGCTCCCTTCCTCCGATGACGAGACGGCAAAGGCGCGCGCAGCAGAGGCGGGCTCGGAGGTTGTCCAGCACGAGGCCCGAAGACGTGCCGAACCTCCATTACCAGTCCGTCATCCTGCCGGGGAACAAGGTCGGTTCTAAAGGGCAAAACGCTCTCCTGCGCTGACGAATTCGGCGGAAAGAGCTCACTACGCGCTCTTTGTGTGATTGGTTTTACCCTTTACTCTAAGAATGTAATGGATTTAGTGATATTAACACGTGCTAGACTGTTATGATATTGAACTAAGATCTTTCTCCTCATGACCAGAAATATTTCTTGTAGATCAATTTGCGCGAGTGGTGCCTAGGAGGTCGAGAGTGCCACGAGGCAGCAGTGAGGGCCATGTTCAGCGTGACCCGAGGGTATATGTTGGCCCTGGCTGAGACGCAGCGACATTGTGCCCTTTGGTTCATCTGCGACGCCTCTGCAAAGGCTATTGCAGAGGGCGCTGTAGGGGCGATGGCCGCTACTCTCGCTAGGTAAGACGCTCTTTTGAACAAAACTTGCTTGAAATGATGTCATTCTAATGATCTCTTTGTCTGCTTAGACATCCTTTTCTGCAAATTCTGCTTGGTAAGTCCTGTTTCCGAAATCTCGCCGTCACGTCATTTTCCACTAAACATTCTAAGTAGGAAATCCCTTTTCCGCTACTAGTGCTGGATAATACGTTTTCTTTCATATGAGGTTAACGAGAGGAACTTGGTCTTTATTTCCGTAATAATTCCAAAATAAAAAATATATCCTTGTTTTCATCAACTTTAAATGTTCATAATATATATTAAGAAAAGCTGGATACCCCATAATTCCTTCTTTTCCTCTAACAGGAATATAGTGATACATAACCAGTGAATGAATAGATGATAATAAGCAAAATGAATAGTGCATAATAATTATTTCTCTCTCCCCCCCTCTCCCCCCGTCACAGCGGCGTAACCAGCCTATACCCAACTGTCGTGTCTGGAGCTGGCCTTAGAGAAGTTATTACGGCCAGAAATGTAGGCCTACGTACTGCCGATTGCTCTAGGTTCGTCGTTCAGGAATGTCGCCTGGCCAACCGAGGAGAAGCGGATTAAGTAACACATCAGAAAAAAAAACGAAAAAAAACAAACCGCATGGATGAGAATGGATAATTTCGCAAAGCAGAATGTTGCTGGCGATCCGATGTTTGTGTTCTGTGATGGCGGAAGAACTTGTCTTACGTGTGATGTAGGTAGAATGTACCTTTATGGAAAGTTATTATCCGTGCGAGTATGTTATTGTTTATATGAGCTGCTAAAGGCATTTGTTAAAGACACATACCATCATTATCATTATTATTACTATTATTATTATTATTATTATTGTTATCATCCGTATCGTCCTCTTTATTACTATTATTGTCATTGATGTTATTATTTTTATTATTACTCTTGTCATTAATACTATTATCATTATTATTATCATTGTTATTCATATTATTATCATCATCATTCTTATCATCAGTATTAGTATTATACCTATTATCAACACTATTATTATCATGATCATTACTATCATTATCATTATTATTTCCATTATCATTATTACTCTTATTAGTAGTATTATTGTTACTACCATCATTATAATTATAAATATCATTATCATTATCATTATTAGTATTATTGTTGGCCTTATTATTTTTCATTATTATTATCATTGTCATTATCATTATTATTATCATCACTATTATTACCACCATCATTGTTATCATTATCATTATTATCATATTATTGTTACCATTATTATTATTATCATTGTTAGGATTATTATCATTATCACCATTATCACAATTATCCTCCTGGTCATAATCATCGTTATCATTATCATCATCATTATTATTATTATCATTACAATTATTGTTATTATTATTATTATCATCTTTACCGCTGTTGTCATTATTGCTAGCATTAGTATTATCATTATCATTCATTTTATCAATATCATTTGAGAACATCGGTATTGTCATTACTGTAAGTAGTACTTCTACTGTTACTAATATTATCATCATTATTTTGTTTGGCTCTATCTGGTTTCGTCCGTTAAGGTGTGTCAGAGTTTTCAAATTATTGCGTTTTCTGTATTATTAAATCATGCCATATATACCTCACTTTTCTTAGTCTATTCAACCAGAAGATCGATCTTTTAAGCCCTAAGAGTTCCCCTTTGTAGCAGGCGAACTTTTTGACGCTGAGAAAAACGCTGCCCGCCGATAGTGGATGGTGATGACGTAATAGGTGTTTTTTACGGTTTCATTCATTCAACGCGATGACGGAGAATTGCAATAGCGAAGAAAAATGTGGGGTAACAGAAGTACTTTCGTGTCAAACCGAAAGCGAGAGAGAGAGAGAGAGAGAGAGAGAGAGAGAGAGAGAGAGAGAGAGAGAGAGAGAGAGAGAGAGAGAGAGGGAGAGAGAGAGAGAGAGAGAGAGAGAGAGAGAGAGAGAGAAAGAGAGAGAGAGAGAGAGAGATGTGTGTGTTGGTGTTACACACACAAGACAAACTCAAAATGTGAACACAAAGGGAGACCAACACTAGTAATGTGATAACACTCAGTATGCCACTCTCAATATTAACTCTTAAAATAAATTTAACAGTCATTACTGGAAGCAACGCTAAAAACCTAAGCTCCTGTTCATTGTGATATGCTGGGATGATGCTATAAACATTAATATATATATTTATAAAGTACTGTACAATTCATCAAATTTATAAAGGAACACTACATGGAATTCATGTGAAGAAAAAAGGATATTTACACGTGAATACTATACGGCATTTATTTCTGAAGAAAAAGGATTTATACTACATCGAGTTTATGTGTGAACCAAATGGGAAAATGACACATAAATAAAACACGAAAGCTTTGCACGAGCAATGCATAAAATTTGTGGAATTTACATATGAACACAAAATCTACACATGAATGATATTTTGAATCTACAGCATATCTAAATGCAATCAACACAATATAAAAATCATTTGTAAACACTGAATATATTGTGATTAAGTTCCGCAATTACTATACATGTTGGAAATAAAACATGTTTATAGAAGGGGCTAAGGTTTATTTACAAAACAATTAAATAGACAAGAAAAAAACAAACTTTTTTGCAATCTGTACACAAATAAAGGATTTACAAAAAAATATATATATATCTAACATACACACAATGTACAAATCATACTCAAACGAACAAAAAACCTATCCACGAATCAGAACAGAGTATCCCTCACAGTGTCCATCAGGTTTTGCAGCAGAGGTTGATAGAAGCTGCTGGAGGGTAGGTGCGGGGAGCGATACACCCCAGGATACCGGTAAGCGGAGGGCAGGGCGAAACACTCGGAGTACCGGAGGGCGCAGCCACGTAACCGGGCACCGACTTCTCCAGCCGATCCCACGTCTTTGAAGAGCGTGGAGTTGACTTTTTCTAACCAGGATCCAGCGTTGGTGCTGTTAGGTTGGACGGTACTATGAGTTTTTTTTTTTCTTTTTTTTTTTGCTTGGGATAGACTTACTGGGTTAAACAGGGATATATATATATATATATATATATATATATATATATATATATATATATATATATATATATATTTTTTTTTTTTTTTTTTTTTTTTTTTTTTTTTTTTTTCTTCTTCTTTCTTTTTCTTTTCTTTTCTTTTTTCTTTTTCTTTTCTTTTCTTTTTTCTTTTTCTTTTCTTTTCTTTTTTTTCTTTTTCTTTTTTTTGGGGGGGAGGCTTAGAAATATATCTATTAGGTTATGCTGTGCTTTGCGAGTATTCATTGTGCTTGCAATTACGCTATATTTAAGCTTCGTTGGGATTCCCGTGTTTCCAAGAACCCACTTGAATACCCGGGCCTTCCCCAAGCACCTAACTGAGCATCAAAACCCACCTGAATACCAAGAATCTATAAAGAACTCACTTGAGTTCCAAAAATCCACCTATCAAGAATCAGAGTATATATAAAGCACTTGAATACCTGAGTACCAAAAACCCGAATACCAAGAACCCACCAATATATCAAGAACCCACCCGAATACCAAGAACCCACCTGCATACCAAGAACCCACCTGCATACCAAGAACCCACCCGAATACCAAGAACCCACCTGCATACCAAGAACCCACCCGAATACCAAGAACCCACCTGCATACCAAGAACCCACCCGAATACCAAAAACCCACCTGCATACCAAGAACCCACCCGAATACCAAGAACCCACCTGCATACTAAGAACCCACCTGCATACCAAGAACCCACCTGCCCACGGAGGCGATCACTTCTCCGACAGGACCTGCAGAAGCGGCTTCTTCAGCTCCTTCGCAGAGGAACCTTCTGGCGCATTCGGCGTCCTGTGCAGCCAGAGTGTTGAGGAAACCGCGGAGGAGGCTGTAGCAGGCTGAAGTGGCCTGTTGGATTTCGTCCTGGCTCTGGGGACGCGGGAGAGGGGTTTGCTGTCGGTGAATTTGGTCTTGTTCGTTGGATGTTTGGTATTTTTGGTCTTGTTCGTTTGATGTTTGTTTGTTTTTTGGTCTTGTTCGTTTGATGTTTTTTTTTTGGTCTTGTTCGTTTGATGTTTGTTTGTTTTTTTGGTCTTGTTCGTTTGATGTTTGTTTGTTTTTTTTTTGGTCTTGTTCGTTTGATGTTTGTTTGTTTTTTTGGTCTTGTTCGATTGATGTTTTTTTTTTGGGGGGGGGTCTTGTTCGTTTGACGTTTTTTTTTTTTTTTTTTGGTCTTGTTCGTTTGATGTTTGTTTTTTGGGTCTTGTTCGTTTGATGTTTTTTTGTTTTTTTTTTGTCTGGTTCGTTTGATGTTTGGTATTTTGGTCTTGTTCGTTTGCTGTTTGTTTTTTTGGTCTTGTTCGTTTGCTGTTTGTTATTTTTGGTCTTGTTCGTTTGCTGTTTGGTATTTGTTTATTTATTTATTTTTTCATTATTCGGCTCACTGAGTTTTTTTGTAGTTGTTAGTGTTGTTATTACGATTATCATTATTACTGTCATCATCTTTGTTATCGTTATCATCATCATCAGGTGTTGTTTTTGTTAGTATTATCACTATCATTATCATTATTAGTATTGCTATTATTATTATTATCATAATTGTTATTATCTTTATTATTATTATTATTATTATTATTATTATCATTATCATTACTATTTTCTTAATCTTTACTGTTATTACTGTTCTTATCATTATCATCATCATCAGCATTATCATTGCCATGTGTCATTTTAACCGGCATTACAAAATTATTTACAAAATTATCTACGGAGCAAATACTCCCGTTTTCAGTATATTGTTACCAACGATCATACCCTGTTAAAACTCCAATTGTCCGATTGTTGTCATCATTTTAGTTATTATTGTAATTACTATTAATATTATGAAAACCATTATCATTGATATCCTCATAATTATAACTATTATAACTATGGCTTCATTATTATTATTATCATTATTATTATCATCATTATTATTATCATTGTTATTATCATTATTATTATTATTATTATTATTATTATTATTATTATTATCATTATTACTGTTATTATTATTATTACTATTATCATCATTATCATTACCATTATCATTGTTACTAATATTATAATGATTTTCATTATCATTATCATGATATTCATTAACAGTATAATTGTCATTATCCTTATTTTATCGTCATTATTATTTTCATTATCATTATTATTATTGTTATTATCATTATTATTATTACTATTATTATTATTATTATTATCATTATTGATATCACTATTACTTATATTATCAGTATTATAATTATTATCATCATTATCATTAATATTATTGTTATTATTACTATTATTATTATTATTATTATCAGTATCATTATAACTTTAATAATTACTTTTTTATTATCATTATTATTGTTATAATTATACTAATCATTACGATCATTATTACTACTGTTATCAACATCATTATCATTATCTTCATTCATTACCTGTCACCATCAATATTCATCGTCATCATCATAGTCATTATTATTACCATTTGTATCACCATCAGTCTTGTACCTAGTACTCATCATCATTACTATAGTATTTTCACCATCATTATTACAATCGTTATTAATACTGTTGTTATTATTGTTATCATTAGTATAATTATCATTATCATTAGTAGTAGTAGTAGTGGTAATTATGACCATCATTATCATTACTCGTATTATCATTATTATTATTATTATTATTATTATTATTATTATTATTATTATTATTTTTATTATTATTATCATTATTATTATTATTATTATTATTATTATTATTATTATCATTATCATTAATTGTTATCATTATCATAATATTTTTTATTATTATCATTAATATTACTAATATCAAAATTGTCACGATTATTACTATCATCATCATTATCATTATCATCATCATCACCACCGTCATTACCATTATCATTCATCGTAACTGTCATTATCATTACTATCTTTATCATCCCCATCGTTACCAATCGCTTACCTGACACTCGGCTTTGAGATTAACGTCCTCCTCCATCCCTCGAGTGTCTCGTTTCTTCCTCCTGTTCCCTTGTAGCTCGAGGATGAGGTCGAGCAGCGCCAAGAGGAAAGCCAGGAATCCGAACACGCTGAACGAGTCGGAACACCCTCCGTATCCTCCCATTCTGGCTTGGCCGCTGAGGACGATGTGAAATTATTTATTTATCTTTTTTTATTTTTATTATTATTTTTTTTTTGAAGCGGAGGAGGAAAGGAGAAGAAGAAGAAGGAGTGGAGGATATGGGAGGGTAAGAGAAGAGGGAAGAGAAGTGGGTAATGGGGGAGGACGAGGATGAGGTCGAGCAGCGCCAAGAGGAAAGCCAGGAATCCGAACACGTTGAACGAGTCGGAACACCCTCCGTATCCTCCCATTCTGGCTTGGCCGCTGAGGACGATGTGAAATTTAAAAAAAAAGAAAAAAGTTTGAGGCGGAGGAGGAAAGGAGAAGAAGAAGAAGAAGAAGGAGTAGAGGAGGAGGATATGGGAGGGTAAGAAGAGAGGGAGGAGGAGAAGTGGGAGATGAGGGAGGACGAGGAGAAGGTCGAGGAAAGCCGAGGATAAAAAAAAAAAGAAAAAAAAAAGAAAAAAAAATACAGGAAATCGAACACGTTTTCCTCTCGTTCTGGCTTGGGAATTATTAGTTTTCGAAGCAAAGGAGGAGGGAAAAAAAAGAGGAAGAAGGGGATGGAGGAGGAGGAGGAGAAGAGGGGAGTAAGAGAAGAAGGAGGAGGAGAAGTGGGGAAAGGCAGGAAGACGAGGAGGACGGGGGGGGGGGGGGGAGAAGTAGGAATAGGCGTAGGAGGAAAAGACGCAGATGGAGGCAGAAGACGAGAAGAAGGAGAAGGAGAAAAGGCTGGAGAAAGAAGGGGCGAAAGTAGGACTGAGAGAAGGAAAAGGAGGCAGAGGAAAAGAAAAGGACGAAAGCTGGGAGGTGAAAGGAAAGAAAGAAAAGTTATAAAATAGGAGAATAAAGCAGTAAAAGGAATAATGATACGAAGAGAACAGTAACATATTAATGAAGAAGAGAAGACGAAAACAGTGACAAGAAAAAACAAGAAAAGAAAAAGTTACGTAAAGAAGATGAAGATGATGATATTGTTTACATGATGATGATGGTGGTGGAGGTGATGATGATGATGATAATGATGATGATGATGATGATAATGACGCAGGAGGTGATGGTGATGATGATGATAATGCTGCTGCTGATGATGATGATGATAATGATGATGATAATGATGATGATAATGATGATGATAATGATGATGATAATGATGATGATAATGATGATGATAATGATGATGATAATGATGATGATGATGATAATGACGCTGGAGGAGATGATGATGATGATGATAATGACGCTGGAGGTGATGGTGAGGATGATGATAATGCTGATGATGATGATGATAATGATGATGATAATGATGATGATAATGATGATGATAATGATGATGATGATGATAATGACGCTGGAGGTGATGGTGATGATGATAATAATGATGATGCTGATGATGATAATGACGCTGGAGGTGATGGTGATGATGATGATAATGATGATGATGATGATGATGTGATGATAATGATGATGATGATGATAATGACGCTGGAGGTGATGGTGATGATGATGATAATGCTTCTGCTGCTGACGATGATGATAATGATGATGATAATGATGATTATGATGATAATGATGATGATGATAATGACGCTGGAGGTGATGGTGATGATGATGATAATGACGCTGGAGGTGATGGTGATGATGATGATAATGATGCTGCTGCTGATGATGATGATAATGATGATGATTATGATGATAATGATGATGATAATGACGGTGGAGGTGATGGTGATGATGACAATGACGATGATGGTGACCATGACGATGTGATGACGGTTACAACGATAATGATTATGATGTTGATGACGATGACGAATGATAATGACGACGGGTGATAATTATGATGACAGTAATAATGACAGTGAAATGGTAATGAAGGCAATGTAAATGTGCTGTTGATGATCATGTCTATAGTGATAAATAGTTACTTTGTAATAAGTAATCTTTTGATATACAGCTTTTAAGTAATACATATATTTTATATTCAGCAACAGCGTAAACACACACACACACACGAACACACACATATATGCACACGAACAAACACACACACACACACACACACACACACACACACACACACACACACACACACACACACACACACACACACACACACACACACTTATACCCACACACACTTATACCCACACACAGGAACACACATACGCACACTCACACACACACACACACACACACTCACACACACACACACACACACACACACACACACAGGAACACACACACACACACAGTGTGAGTGTGTGTGTGTGTGTGTGTGTGTGTGTGTGTGTGTGTGTGTGTGTGTGTGTGTGTGTGTGAGTGTGTGTGTTCTATTAGCACCCACACAAATGCAATAAACATGCGTAAGTTAAATTACCTGCTCGTGACGCTACTTAAATGCTCCTCGATCTGATGAAGTATGTTGCTGTGAGAAGAAAAAAAATCATTATTTTCTAGATATGAAGGCTTTAGAATCAGTGAATTTTAAAATTAATATATAAATAAAAATGGAAAATAAAGATGATAAACAGCATGAAGATAAACTACGTCATAAAATATGTTTTTTAAAAGTTATCACCAAGTGTATTTTTACCTTGCCATTTCTGATGTGTTATCTAGAATCGATTGTGCCAGAGCCTGTGGTAGGAACAGGCACAGAGTGAACAAAACTATTAGGGGAACACTAGTCATGTTTTATCTTTCTTCTTTTTCTCTTTCTACTTTTTCTTCAACTTCTTCTTCTTCAATGTATTATTATTATTATTTTCCTCTTCTGTAAAATCACTTCACGTAAACGATTTCGGAGACTTATATATAACACACCACTTGTATCGCACTTGAACCTGATATAGACTAGAGCTTAATTTTCAGTTCGTAAGATCTTAAGATTTTTTTTCTCAGAAGTTCCAATTTTGTTGCCATAACAAACTGCCTCGTGTCTGTTTCATCGAATATTCTAACACTAAGCAACAGAACAACGAGAAGGTCAACCACAAACCAAAAATATCAATCTAAGAAACAATTTTTTTTTCGAATCTTAAAGTTCCGGAGAGCAAGTTTGTAAGACTTGGTTATAAGCACAGAGACCAAATGCCAGTTTTAAGAAGGAGCGAACTTCACGCGGCAACCTATGGCCCTCTACGCCGCTGCTGGCATCTGTCTTACGAGGGGCGGAGGAGGAGGAGGAGGAGGAGGAGGAGGTGGGCGTGGCTTAGGCGAATAACGGTCGCGGCGGCAGTCGGTTAGAACGAACTCTTGGTGTGCCATTCAGGTCTGAAAAAAGTAGGTAGTGCATATCTCTTCATTTGGAAAAGTGGGGGAGGAGGGCAGGATTACCGTAATACAGTGGTCCACAAACCAATTGCTGATTCAACGTTTATCGCTGTAAATCAAAAAGAGAGCTCCGATAGAAAAAAAAAAAAAAAAAAAAAAAACATAATGATATCAATAATGGCAATGATAATGCACACAGGTGTCTGCAACTTTCCGCACGTTTGCATAACTATATGCACACGTTATACTAAAGACAAAAATAATACAACGACTAGTATTACTTACGATGATGATAATCATAATGACAACTATAACAATAATAATATTGATCATAATAATACTAATATTGGTATTAATAACAGTAACAACAAAAACAACAACAAAACAACAATAATAATAATTATCATTATTATTATTATTATTAATGATTAATTATATTGATAGTTATCAACATCATCATCACAATGGTAATAAATGCCGAATTATCGGCAAGACTGAATAGGCCAAAGCCAAGGGGCCCACCACAAGCAAAGAGCCCCTTTTTAGTGTTAAATGTAAACACTATGGATACGACAAACACGCGCACGTCACTATATTTCATTTATAAGGAACCCTCTTTGATACCAAAGACGCTGCGAGTGCAAGACTGGATTATCCTATAGGTTAGCAAGGCCCTTTATTGAGATAAGAGTTTGGGACCCTGACGGAAGATCATGGGGCCAGTCCATATTTGATGGTGGTTATGTCTATGTCTAATAATAACAATAAAATGATAATGATGGTGATGATGATGATGATAATAATGATAATAATAATAATAGTAATGATAATAAGAATGGTGATGATAATAATAACAACAGTGATAATAATTATCATAGTAATGAAAAGGAACAGAACAGCATCAAAAAGGTAGTAACATGTAACACGATATCCTCCTCAACCTCCACAAAAGTTTGCTTAACCTACAAAACCACATTTACGTAGCGACCAGAACATACTTGGTCTGTCTTCATAGATCTAACGGACATGTTCCGTGCGTTACGGTAAGTCCCGTTAGAAAGCGCTAGTTCGCCTTGCATACACAGTTACATAACGTGGGGTTGTCACGGTGTTGTTTTAAAGGGGGAGGAGAGGAGAGGGGGGGGAGGGGGTAGTGTGATCGCGTAGGCTTATGTAGTTTTCTGATTTTGGTTATCATTGTTTTTGCTGTTGGTGGTGTAATCATTATCTTCAAGTAGAAATAGTAGTAGTATCATAATCATTACTACTATTATTATTATATTATTATTATTATTATATTATTATTATTATATTATTATTATTATTATTATTATTATTATCATCATTATTATTATTATCATCATTATTATTATTATCATCATTATTATTATTATCATCATTATTATTATTATCATCATTATTATTATTATCATCATTATTATTATTATCATCATTATTATTATTATCATTATTATTATTATCATCATTATTATTATTATCATTATTATTATTATCATCATTATTATTATTATCATTATTATTATTATTGGCCTTATCTTTATTTCTATTATCATTATTATTATTATCATTATTATTATTATTATTATTGGCCTTATCTTTATTTCTATTATCATTATTATTATTATCATCATTATTATTATTATTATTATTATTATATTATTATTATTATATTATTATTATTATCATCATTATTATTATTATTATTATTATTATTATTATATTATTATTATTATTATTATTACTATTATTATTATCATTATCGTTATATTGGTTATTATCATATGATTATCATTATCATTATTATGAGTATTATACTATCATTATTATGGTTATTATAAATATTATCATCAATATTATTATTATTATTGGCCTTATCTTTATTTCTATTATCATTATTATTATTAATTCTATTAATATTACCAGTACCATTATTGCTAATGTTATTACTATCATCATTGCCATCATTGTAATTACTATTATCATCATTATTATTGTCATTGCGAATGTTATTATTATTGTAATCATTATTATAATTGTTATAATTGTTGTTTCTTTTATTATTATTATTATTATTATTATTATTATTATTATCATTATTATTATTATCATCATTATTATTATTATCATTATTATCATCGTTATCATTATCATAATTATTACTTTCATCATTATCATTATCATCATGATTAATGTCATTTTTTATCATTACTGATATTAATATCATTAATGTTATTAATATCATTATCAGCATTATTATAAATATTATTATTAGTCTATAATTATCATCATCACAATCAGTACCATTATTGTTAATATCACTAATATCAGAATACTTCTGCGAGAAGCTCGTTTCCAAGGTGTATAGCCCAAGGTCTAGTCAATATCCCGACTCCCAAAGTGGTCTAAAGCAAAGTTTCATTTTGATTTCAATCTTTATTGTTATTTTAACTTTCTGCAACCATGCTATTTGTGGATGGTTTTCCATGGTTGCTGTTTGGCTCTCAATTTTATCCCCCAGGGCGTAAGTAATTTCTGAGATGAGAGCCGTGTCTTCGCTATGTCAGAGTGGGAGTTTGCATTAATTGATCAAGTGATCGTTTGTGTGGATAATCTTTAATGAGGCACCGCTTTAGGTGTAAATACCTAATTTATTTCTATAATATTATTATACCCCATATGATATAATAATCTATGTTTAGACGACCAAGTCATAAATAAGCTTCATAGAAATTATACTTTTTTTTTCTTTGGCATCGTCTTTCGCTCGCTGTCGCTCTAGGATTTTCATCTCGGTTCCCTTCCCAGTAGGGCAAGTATCTCGCTCTGTAAAGGGATTCCTAGACAGAGAAGACTAATGTGAACGCCGCTATATACACCAGGATACTTTCCCGGCCATGAGAGTCACCGAGATGAAGCGCGGCTTTGGTGTTTAGCTCCAACGGCAGGGGGGATACAGGCTCAGCACCTAGGTCTTTGATAGATTTACTAGCTTCATCAAAACCCTTTTCCCTGAATTTCTTTATCTAGTTACAAAGCTTTTGGAATGAAGAAATTCCTGTAGAAACATCCAAGGCATCACTGTGAAGTTCTTAGCTAACATGATTTACTCGATAGAGTCAGGAGTGCCACTTGTAATCTCCCGTTTGACTGGCTAACGATACAGCATCGCGTTTTGCTTGAGTGTTGTCGGTGTTTTCTGCTAATTAACAAAGTGTGATAAAGCCTTAATTTGTCTAATGCAATACAGACTGCAATACAAACTTGGTACCGTGCAGCTCTAACACTCCATTCTACATTGCTATCGTGATTCAGAGAGAGATTTTACAGATAGACCTGTTTTCCAAAAACTGTTCATATTTTAGTATGTTGGTGTAAATACGCTGACTGATGTCACGAATATAATCAGGAATTACTGTTGTGTCTACGTGACGAGCCGAGAGTAGATTACATTCAAGCGCGGGGCCCCTTAGGCGCGGGGCTCCATTCCGAGCCATTGGTCCAATTGGTTAACGGCCGACTCTGACTACAGACATAAACCATGACCCGCTTGTGTTACAATCCCTTGCACTGCCCTCCTCTGTCTTTTTGTTATTTTGTCTGTTTGCCTTTCTCGTTTTCTATTTTTCCTTACGTTTTTTTTGTTGTAATTTTCGCATTTTTTACTTATTGCGTTTGTATATTTCTCCTTTTCCATTTCTTGTTCTCGCTTCTGCCTTGCGAGAAATCGGTGAATTTTGACGTTACATTTTTTTTACTCATAAGGCCATTTAAAATTAATCTTTAGTTTTTCATCACCGTCCGTCCCGATTTTTAGGCCCGCCCCAATTTTTTTTTTTTTATATATTATATTTTTTCAAAATGTGTCTTTTTTTACCTTTTTGCTGCACTAGAGATCGCTTAGATGATGCAATGGCAAGGAGATTATTGAAATTTGTAATCCAAACTATACTGCTACAAGTCAAGGAAATTCTAAGTCACTGAAATCTGTAGTCTATATTTTTTATCATACTGCCGAACTAATTTGATATTGATTTTGAAGCCACAGCCCTCTTGTGGAATGAGAAACATTTTTTTTTTAGTTTGTTGTTTCAATTTCTGTTTTTATTGTTCAGAATAAATACAAGTACTTCGAATTGCACAAAATATTGGACTTCAGCCTTCCTCATTTCACATAGATGGGAAAATTTTAAAATATAAAATATAAAATATAAAATGCCCTCCCCGCCAATTTTTTCAGCATCTAGTGATGAAAAACTAAAGATTAATCTTAAATGGCCTAATAACCATTCTATTTTTGAAGATGCATTTAGACATGAATATTTCTTTTCATCTTTCTTTTTTCATTCTTTGATTCAGTACGTACTTGTTAATGTATTTTTCACAATATCCTTTTTTTGTATCATTTTCATCCTAATAATTGGTTTCATGACGGTGCATTTCTGTAACATATGATCCAAATGATGATTTGCAATTACCTATCCAATGCTCATCTCAGTTCAGAAAGATATGTAAAGGCAAACGTCACTGAGCCTATAGCGACCCAGCCTCCTTCAGATACTTAAAACACCCACACACATTTGTCCAATCCTTTAAAACCGGCAACTGCAGTGTGGGTGGTCGGGTTAACCGATCTATCTGTTCAGTATGTAATGTGATGACTTGTAGGGGTTTTCTTCCCCTCTGCTATCATTTAAGGCATGGTTGAAAAAAATAAATGTGCTAGATATCAAGGTCATAAAGCACTATGGTAAAGTAAAGTAGTAGCGAAAAGGGTTAGGGATGTGTTAATGATTAGTGTAAAGTTAATGGTTA